AAAAACTGAAAAAGTCTGACTTTGAACGTTTATATCTCAGTCAATTTTTAACGTAAAAATTTTGTACAACGCTATTTGAACGAGGGTTACGTAAGCTTTTTTTTTATAGACCAATACCGAATATTTACCTAAGTCCGCCAAGGAAAAAGTTACAATTCTCTTTCTTAATTGTTTTATGCATTTAGTTTGTTTAAAAAAAAAGTTTTTGACTTTAAAATACAGTGGATTTCGGGTATAACGACAACGAAGGGACCACTGTAATTTCGTCGTTATATCCAGAAGTCGTTACAGGCAAAGTTAAAGAAGATACAGACACACACTGTTTTTCAATTTTGAAACAATTTTCGCCTTTTTTTAACAGTAAATGTACATCTGGAAGTCACACTTATTCAAAAGTTTACTAAACACCGTTGCTACTCAGAAACAACGGTAAAGGTCACCACACTTGTTGACTATTTGTGTGAATATAAACAAAAGATAAGAAAGGGATTTGTTACAAATGATCCATTAAAAACAGTTGGTAGACCCGAACTCGGCGTTACATCCGAAGTCGCTATAGCCACTTGAATTTTATACTAAAGAATGCTTTAAATTCAAGGGACACAAAGGTCGCTATAACCAAGGTCGTAATAAATGAAATCCACCGTATATAAGGAGTTGAAGTGAGAGAGTACTTTGTTACTACGTGTATGAGTATTTCGAGAATGGAATAAATACCTGGGGTTGTTACGACAACTGCACTAAGGTTGATTTTATAAAAAAATTAATAGCTTTAACCCCATTTTGATTTTGAATTCACACTGAATATAAAGAGGGGGAAAGGTCGTCAGTCCTAAGACTGGTTGGACACGTACCTCCACTCTTTCCTATCCTGAGCTAAACTTCGCATTTCCCTAAAACTAGAACAGCCCACAAGATAATACAATATTCATCTTGTTTGCGATGAGCATTCTAAGAAACATTAAATCAGGACAAGAAGTAACATTTGTCGTCAAGAAATTGGACACATCTTCAAATCGCATAATGGAGACCGTGCATGCTGTAGTTACTGATCCATGGTAAGTGCGTTTATTAACCCATTTACCTATTTTTTAACACTAAAGCAATTAAACAAACAAAACACTTTTATTAGAAAGTGGTTTATCAATAGGTACCTACTTTGTTGCACAAATTTAAAAAATATATTAAACAAGTGTAACATGTTGATAAAATCGATCCATGTTTGTTATGTTTTAAGCCTAAAAGACCATACTTTTTAATCATTTTTATGACAAAAAGGGATTTTGGAGTTAAATAATTGAGGTCATGTTTTTCTAAAAATGTTTGTGTCGTATTGCTTCTGTTTTGGGGTGTTTGAACTCATAAACTATGTTTATAAAGTGTCGGAAGAACAAATGGTTTTTATTTAATTTCTTTTTCTTCTTCCTGTTTCTAATCCTGGATAATTGTGGTTAAAAAAAAGAATCAGCTAGAAAGTTTTGCTTTCTCGCTTTTAGAAATAAGGAAGCTAAGTCATCGCCAGGAATTTGGCACACATATTTATTAAATTTTGAATTTTCTTGTGAGTTCCGTACTCTCTAGGGGTAGTTCTACAATAGTTCTCGAAATGGTGCGCTGATAGTTCTGAATTTTTAACAATAAAATGCGCAAATTTTTTTTGCAAATACCTTCACAAACTCAGGAATCTTTTATTTATTATCCTTCTGTTGTATCAGAGCTCTATTTCTACCAATTAGGTGTGCAAATTGTACTACAAGTTCTTAACTTTCCGTTATACATGCATTCTCAAGGACCTGATTCACGTAGTAGAAATCCTGAAAAACAATCGGTCAACATGCGTTATATTTTCAATCCATCTCCATCATAATTAAAAGAGTAGCTACCACATTTCTCCCACCTGGGGAAAGGATAAAATAACGGGGTGGGATGGGTATTGGATATCGCGACGAGATACTACAAGGGAGGGGGCCCCCTCTTGTAGAGGAAAATTCGTTTACAAATAGATGTGGGATGTTCTAGATTTAGGGAAATATAAAGATTAGCTCAGGATAGGGAAAAGTAGAGGAGCATGTTCAGTCAATCATAATTCATCATGATTCTATGATGATAATGATGATGACAATGAAGATGATGATAAAGATGGGGCCCTATTTCCGAAATTGTAATTCTAAAACTAAAGATAAGTTACCTACATTCGGTTCGGTTTTCCATTTAATATAAGAACATTGTCATACTTACCCCTTTTATGGTAAATAACTGCTTGTCGTACAGGAATACCTAGGTGAATTATCTGTGCAGGTGTACAAATTGTATACGAGACTTCATAATAACCAGAAGTCAACGCTTGCCACTTAAGACACTTTATATCAACTTTTGAGTTCGTTAATAAGTGGTAGAGATAGACGACGTACTTCTTCAAGTACCATTTTAAATAGGTTGCTTGCAAAGCTTTTTTTTTTTAGAGAAAGTCAGGCATATTTGTGAGGGAAATCAGTGCTTTAATCCTTGAAAATGCATNTTTTTATTTAATTTCTTTTTCTTCTTCCTGTTTCTAATCCTGGATAATTGTGGTTAAAAAAAAGAATCAGCTAGAAAGTTTTGCTTTCTCGCTTTTAGAAATAAGGAAGCTAAGTCATCGCCAGGAATTTGGCACACATATTTATTAAATTTTGAATTTTCTTGTGAGTTCCGTACTCTCTAGGGGTAGTTCTACAATAGTTCTCGAAATGGTGCGCTGATAGTTCTGAATTTTTAACAATAAAATGCGCAAATTTTTTTTGCAAATACCTTCACAAACTCAGGAATCTTTTATTTATTATCCTTCTGTTGTATCAGAGCTCTCTTTCTACCAATTAGATGTGCAAATTGTACTACAAGTTCTTAACTTTCCGTTATACATGCATTCTCAAGGACCTGATTCACGTAGTAGAAATCCTAAAAAACAATCGGTCAACATGCGTTAGATTTCCAATCCATCTCCTTTTTTTAAGTTTGTTATAAATTAGTTTATTTTGGCAAGCATATCTATCAAAAAGTAGACTCGTGTAAAAAAATAACTAATATTTGACAATGATCATTAATCAGAGGCTTTCATTTGAAAACAAATATTACAGACGCGCTTGTACTCTTACAGAAATATTTTTTCTTCATATCAAAGGTAGTTTATGATCTAATGGACATAGATTGTCAAAGAATTTTTAGTATCCTTGAAGAATCAGGAAATTCTAAGGAAATTTTGAAATATTTCTCAGTAGTCCTGGAAATTCAAATCAAGTTGTATTTCTTATTTGCCGTATTACCCTTCTTGATACCTTCAAAATCTTTAATATCCCCTCTTCCCAAGGGGGATAGATTAGAAATTTTGAAGACCCCAAGGAAGATTCTGTGATTTTGGTCAGTTATTTTGAGTCCTTTTTCATGAAGCCTTTACGTTTTATAAGATATGCATACAATTTGGTGTTGTGTTGTCTCAAGATCTGAATTTAAACTCCAATACTTTCAATATTTTTTTGGCCATTATAATTTCCAACAGTGAATATGATTGGTGGTAATTGATAACTATATGTTAATTTCGGTGTTTTTCCAAGATCCACATCGTGGAGAGTAAACAAAATTGAATGATCTAAACCTCAGTATTTTCAATACGGTTTTGACCGTTATAATTTTCGACAGGGATTAGGGTTCACGCCATTAACGTCATTGATGGCAAATGATCCAAATCATGGAAAATAAGCAAAATTAAATGATTTAAACGTCAGTATTTTCAATATTCTTTTGACCATTTCCACTGTAAACGTGAGTGGTTGTAAATGATAAGTTAATTTCGGTGTGTTTTCAAGATCTAGACCATGAAAAGTAAACAAAATTAAATGATCTAAACTCCAGTATTTTCAATACGGTTTTGGCCATTAATGTGATTGATGGCAAATGATCCAGATCATGGAATAAACTAGTATTTTCAATATGATCTTGACGATTATAATTTCCGACAGTTCATAGCGTAAATGGGATTGATAGCAAATGATAAGTTTATGTGTGTTAATTTTGGTATTTTTCCAAGATCCAGATCATGGAGAATAAGCAAAATTGAATGACCTAAACCTCAGTATTTTCAATACGGTTTTGACCGTTACAATTTTCGACAGGGATTAAGGGTTCAAGCCATTAATGTGATTGATGGCAAATGATCCAGATCATAGAATAAACTCTAGTATTTTCAATATGATTTTGACGTTATAATTTCCGACAGTAATTGAAGATTGATAGCAAATGATAAGTTTATGTGTGTTAATTTTGGTATTTTTCCAAGATCCAGATCATATAGAAAAGGCAAAATTAAATGATTTAAACGTCAGTATCTTCAATATTCTTTTGGCTATTACAATTTCCAACGGTAATTGAAGATTCACACTGTGAACGAGATTGATGACAAATGGTAACTCTATGTTAATTTTTGGTATTGTCGTTATATGAAGAGAGGATGGCATAGAAAAAATGTTTGTATTAAAGAACACCATCATGTGTGTAGTATCTGTACGTAAAACTTACTTGAATAATTAAAGAGACCAACGTAGACACGCATGAGATATAATGAAAATAAGGTGTGGTAAGTCACCAGGTGGGCAACTTTGGCCTACCCATGTTGTACCTACTTAACAATAATGAGTTTCTTTCTTCAAAAGTTTTACGTTAGTTCATTACCGCGTTGTCCCGTTTACATTTCATTTATGAGCCCACATCTTTCAAGTTCGATATATTCAGCCAGCAGCAGTGAATGCACTCTCGAATTTCTTCACAAATTTCTTAATTTACACACATGACTGTCTAGCTCTCTCTTCTCATCTTCTTTAATTTTAACATAACTTCACATATGCTGCTAAATTTATTCCAAACCCTTTACACGAATTTCTCCATGCAGGTATAGGCTCGTTCTGGTTACTGCATTTCAACTATCTTCTAAATGAGAATTACAGTTTATAAGTATATACTATACGTATAAGTATGCAGAAATGTGGATATATATAAAATTGCCAAAGCGCATTCTTAAGTGCCGACTTCATGTAAATATTTTGTTGAAACGTATGGAATAGAACTGACATTGCAAACGAGAACCTAATTAAAAATAAGTCATTTCCGGTGGAAACGTAAATTCCAACTAAATTTTTCAACAGCGGCTGGTCAAATTGCAATGCCTTCTTTGAAAAAGAAGTTGTCAAATATTTTTTGTATTAGTAAGTAATTCTACTTTTTAATCTACACATCAAAGACGCGATGAACATCATTAAAAACAGTACAACTGTAGGGATAGATATACAGGGGCAAAAGATTGGTATGCTTAGATTTGCAGATGATATTGCAGTATTAGCATCTAGCAAGAGGAGTTAGAGATAGCTTTAAATAAAATGGAAACGGTATTGAGACAACAGTACTGTATGAGAATAAATAAAAGTAAAACTAAAATACTGGTATGCAAGGGAAGAAAAAGTAGGGAAAGAGCGAATCTAAAGATAACAGTGGGTGCGGCGGAAAAGAAAAGGTTAGAAGCGTTCGAAATATGATGTTGCAAGTGAATGATGAGGCTACCGTGGATAGAGAAGGTTAGAAATGAACAGGTATTAGAAAGAGTAGGAGAACAGAAGGTTCTACGGAAGTCAATAAGAAATATGCGAGATAGGTCACCTTCTCGGGCATGAAGGTCTAGTCAGAGACCTATTAGAGGCAGAAACTGAAGTTAGGAGGGGTACCCGAGTAGAATTTATTTTGGGAATTCCCTAACTCCAATTGGGTCCCTATTGGAGATTGTTGGATTTGCCCAAATTGGGCATTTTCCACCTATACCCAACGAATTTTGATCTGCATATTTTAGGGCTATCCCAAACTTTACCCAAACTGCACTTCCCAACTACAATCTTATTGAAGAATAATCTATAAATAATAAATGGTTATTTTATTTACTGTCTCCTATTAATAATTATTTTTATACTTTCATGTAACAGTTAGCCATTTATTGGGACCCAATCAGGATTTCCCTAACTATATCTTAGACTTATTTTATTGT